ATCAAATATTAAAAAAAAAGGATTTTCTCTCATTCTTCAAATTTTCAAAATAAGAAAATCCTATGAGTGATTTTTCCAAGACCCTTTCTTCTCCAAATCATTGGTAAGTGATTCTAACCCATTTTCTTTCATTCTTCATTACATTTCACAAGTTTTTAACCTAAAATCTAGTGTTTTCATGGTAGAAATTTGGGAGTTTGGGTGGGATTAGGAATTTTTAAGAATTTGGGATTTAGACCTCCAATTGGGGTCGGATTCCAAAACAAGTTACATAACCGGGCTCGAAGGTGAATAGGTAATCGGGTTTTAGTCCGAATTTTGGGTTTGGACCAAACGAGCCAGGGGAGTTGACTTTTGTTGACTTTTTCAATAATAACCTAAATTGAATATTTTGTGATTGTGGATGATTCCTAAGGCTTATTTTGAATCGTTTGGTTGGTAATTTGCTAGATATTGTTGGTTCGGAGGCTTGTTTGAAAGGCAAAGTTGTGATAAGCTTTGAGTGGTCTCTAGAGCGATGTAAGTGTTGTGTCTAACCTTGACTTGAGGGAATTAAAAACCCTCGGACTATGTGTTATGTGAATTTTATGTGAGCGGCATATATGCGAGGTGACAAGTGCTTATACGCTGCCGAATTATCTGTTTCTCTTGATTTTTCGCTTTTTCTTAATTATTTCCTATCATGTCTTAACTGTTATATGCTTTAAATGCTTTCCATTCTTAGATTCTATTTGCTAATTAATATCTTCTCCTGTTAATAATATTAGCTCTTCCATAGTTTCGTAATTCTCTGCTATTTGCTTAGATTGATTTACTCGCACCTTCTAATTACCAATTACTGGATTGGTCTCGCGGTATAGTATTACTTGTATGGATTCTTATGTTGTACAAGGCTTCCCTCTCGGTTCAGTTTGGTATTTATTGATCGTAAGGGTTTTGTGGTTGAACTGTTGATTTGACTGTGCACATTGAGTGTTTTGAACTGATATGGTGGGATCAGGCTGCACACCGCAGCAGGGGTAATAAAGGTGGATTGATATAGTGGAATAAGGGTAAATTCGTACTGTACGGTGGGATCGGGTTACGCGCCGCAACAAGTAGAATAAGGGTGGATTGATATGATGAAATAAGGGTGAATTATGATACTGTTGTTGATATATGATGGGATTGGGTCGCGCGTCGCAACATATACATGTTATTTACTGTTCTTGATATTGTTACGGTAAAATAAGGAAGGATTGTGTGTTGTCTGGTGGGATCGGGTTGCGCATCGCAACAACTTATGTGTTTTCATTTCTTGAGTTGTGTTGGTTTTCGATATTCTCATTTGAACTGCTAAGGATTGATAACTCTGGACAATACTGGTTTATTTCCTAAGGCGATAGTTATCATTTTCAGTTGACTGCTTCTTCCTATTCAGTATTTCTATTTTTCTATCATTATTATCTATACTGCGTATATATTGTAGTGTAAGTGGACCGCCTTAGCCTCGTCACTACTTTGTCGAGGTTAGGCTCGGTACTTATCAGTATATGGGGTCGGTTGTACTGATACTACACTCTGCACTTCTGTGCAGATTTTGGAGTCAGTCTAGTGGCGGCTACTAGAGAGATCAGATTAGATAGCCTGTGGAGACTTGAGGTACAATTGCTCAGTGCCCGCAGCTCCTGAAGTCCCCTTCTTTGTTTCTACTTAGCTGTGTATTTTTATTCAGACAGCTTTGTATTTATTTCAGAGCGTTGTATGTATCTAGTAGCTCATGCACTTGTGACACCGGATTCAGAGATTTGTAGCAGATATTTTATAGCTTTAGCTTCTGCATTTACACTTTAGATTATTTCAGTTATTTTAAAATTCTTTCTTAATATTAACTTTTAAACTGTTAAAATGGATAAATCGTTCTAACATTGGCTTTCCTAGCAAGTGAAATATTATGCGTCATCACGGTCCCGACGCTAAAAATTTCGTGATAGTTTTATGAGAAATGACAAATGTTTATCAGTAGAACACCAAGTTGGATTGTTGTAACCAGATACCACTGCAGAGGTCAAAGGTGTAATGTTTCAGATAGATGTGAATAAGACCCATTGGCCAGATGGATTTGGACGTGGTTTCTCAAGGCTTTATGGTCTGTGGTTGGAGAAGATATAACAAATGCAATCCTGGAATTCTTTGATAATGGTCAGATGTTGAAGCAACTAGACTCAACTATCATAGCTCTAATTCCTAAAGTTGAAGATCCTCAAATGCAAGTCAATACAGACCTATTTCATACTGCAATACCATATATAAGTGCATTTCAAAACTCATTTGTCATAGACTGAAGGAAGTACTTCCAACTATAGTAGCAGAAAATCAAGCAGCTTTTGTAGAAGGTAGATCCTTAATTCATAATGTTCTGGTATGCCATGATATATTGAGACATTATAATAGGAAAACTACTCCAAGATGCCTAATGAAGATAGATTTGAGGAGAACATATAACATGATTAGTTGGGAGATTTTGGAGGAGGTCCTAATAGGCTATGACTTCCCTATACCATTTGTCCAATTCGTGATGTGCTGTGTTACAACTCCTAGTTACACTGCCAAGGTTAATGAAAATGGATATGGATATTATCAAGGGAAAAGAGGACTAAGGCAGGAGGATCCTATGTCTCCTCTGTTGTTTGTTCTAGTAATGGATTACTTAACAAGAAGCCTTGGTAAAATGAGTGAGCTACCAGAATTTCACTTTCATCCAATGTGTAAAGCGACTAAACTGACACATCTAATTTTTGATGATGACTTGATGCTGTTTGTAAAGGACAAGTTGCCCCAATTAACAGGATGATGAAAGTACTCAACCACTTCAGTGCAGTATCTGGGCTTCTGGCTAACCTAGATAAATCAAATATTTTTCTAGTAGGGATGGATGGGGAATGCAAGCCAGAGATCCTTAATTGTATAGGATTTTCTTTGGGTTCACTGCCTATAAGATACCTTAGTTTACCTCTCTCCTCTAAGAAATGGAGTAAAGTGGAATATCATGCTTTGGGTGAAAAGCTTACAGAAAGAGTTCGCAATGGTTATTCTAAATTACTCTCGTATGTTGGAAGAATACAAATTATTAATACTGTTCTCTTCTCCATTTAAAATTTTTGGGGAGCAGTATTCATCTTACCACAAAGTGTGGTTAAAAACATTTACAGAATATGTAGAGATTACTTGGGGGGGATTCTATAGGCCACATGAAGGTATCATTAGTAGCATGGAAAAAGGTCCGTAATCCTAAAAAATATGGAGGATTAAATATTAAAAAAAAGTGAACAGTGGAATATAGCTTATGTTGGCAAGTTATTATGGCAGGTGGCAACAAAAAAAGGATGTACCATCGGTGAAATGGATTAATGAACTCTACATGAAGTCCAATCACAACATCTGGGAGCACCAACCCCCACAAGATTGTAGCTGGTATTGGAAAAAACTAAATGCTCCAAAAGAGATCATGGCACAATGGTATACTATAGGAGTTTACCAGCTGGACACTAGTGGTTTCTTTCAGTGTCTAGTAGCTACATAGCACTAAAGGGAAACATAACTAGGCTGGGGGAAGCAGAGGTTATATGGAATGCTGTAATGTTGTCAAGACAAAGAGTGATTACTTGGCTGGCATATCAAGACAAGCTAATGACTAAAGAAAGACTGATGAGGTTGAACATCCCTATCAATGGGGACATCAATTGCATACTATGTGATTGTGGAGTACCTGAGACGCACCAGCATCTATTTGTGGATTGTATCTAGACCCAGAATATAAGGGTGGCACTGCTCAATTGGTCAGGAATAAATATTCCATCCTATACTGTTAGCAGGAGTTTGCAGTGGATCAAGAATCGACACCAAGGCAATTTAGGAAAGAAGTAGCAACAAAAATCATTGGTGCGATAATATACTAGACATGGCAAGCTCGGAATTGGAAGCATTTCAGGAAGATCAATGTAAATAATGCATTTATAGAGACACAAATTAAGAAGGAACTTAGGGAGATGATTAGTATGTTAGCAGGATCTAGAAGAGCTAAACATTGCCCAATTTTGATACAGAGGCTATATAGTTAGAGCTGTTAAAACTGATAACAGTTAGAGTTCCTTGTTATTGTTTGTTTTTTGAGAGCTAGAGAGATTTTGATCCTAGTGGATTGGAACAGCTGGCTGCTCTTAGTTTGTAAATCGTTTGGTTTGTTATGGTAATATTTATATATTATTGCAAAAAAATAAGCAGTTTTTGACAACTTGACCAAACGGGCTCTTACTAGTTGGTTGTGAAATTACACTCTTTTTTACCATTGGGACAAATAGGTTGAAGACAAAGGTGATAAAATGAACCTACTTTATTAACCCGCCAAATTTATCCATGTTTAAATGGGATGGGTAATGACGCCTTAGTTGACTTGACACGAGGAGTTCAACCTAAAATGATCCATTAAATTATTGGAGATGGTGGACTTCAATGCTTAAGAATGAAGAGTTATACAAGCTTTTGAAACCCCCAACGACGAAGCTTTTAATTTTTCACTTTAATTTATTCAAAAACATTTAAATCCGTGATGACAAATGTGAATATCACTCTTAAGTTAGTTTTAATATAGATCTTCTTAATATTCTATTAATAGGTGAAAAGAAGTTTCAAATTATATATATACAAATAGGATATTTTTTCGCAAACAATAGAAAATAAGAGGGTGGATACAAGTGATGCATTTTAGTTGATTTATATTACTATATTATATGAGTGTTTAGTGTACTTATAGCATATATTTTTAAATTAACAAGGATGTTCTCATACATTTTACTATGCATCTCCTATTCCTAAATTTGTGTTACCATGTTTGGGCTCAATATTATGCAAATACAAAATTATGTGCTTTCTTCGCAGAGATATATAGATATTCGAGTCAAAGAACAAAAACAGGCAAAATAAGAAAAAGCAAATAAAAAGAAAAAAATGTTCAATCTTACATTCAAATGAGAAGAAGGGTCTTTTTCTCGTTCTTCTACGTCCAGGGCAAAACTATAAGAAAGTACATGACTTGAGAGGAAATTTAGCTACGTTATTCCTTGGGAAAGATCCAAATTAAAATCCATTCTGGTCTTGATCTGGTTAATAGATTCCACAGTCATTTTCAGAGGAATGATTCAAGGTTTATGCTCATAATCACAACATAAATTAAAGAAGCCATAAAAATTAATGTGAATATTATTCTACCAAAGATCAGAAGAAGCAAACTAACATAATAAAATAAGTGGAAAATAACATGAAAAGAAATCTCACCTTCCGTTATAGAGATTGGAAACAGAGAGATAATTAATTGCTCCAAGTTTGCTTAATTTGATGGTTTAGGCTTTAGAGAAATTTAAAATGAGAAAGAATATTAATAGGAATATCAAGTATGCAATGTACCAAACGCGATATGCGACTTAGGTGGAATATATATACACCTCATAATTGTACTACACTTCACATTTTTCTTAAAAAATATTTTTTCCGTTTCAATTTATATGAACTTATTTTATTCGTATAAAAAAGAATAATTTCTTTATATATTTGAAAATAATTTATCTTTATACAATAATTTATAGTCACACAAAATATATGTGCCTCATTTTATACCGGAAGTTTAAAAGTATTCTCCAAAGTAAATATTAGAAATACTCTCTTCAACTCTAAAATGATTCTCCAATTTTACTTCCCTACTCCCAAGATTCCACGTTCTATCTTTGCTCAAACATTTAGAGTCAACTTAATATAATTTTATTCTAGATCTAAAATTAAAGAATAGAGAAATTGAATGTGCAAGCACTCTCATGCATGATTCGCGATCATCGCAAAGTTGGCCTGGCCGGGCCTGAGAGAAAAAAAAAAATCCAAAATCGCCTCTCATGTTTGGTCTTAACTAAACTAGTCTTTATTTTATAAGATGAGCAATAATAATCCCTATAGTATGCAAAAGTGGTGTATATTTTGGTCTAAGGTAACAAAGACCATGTAACACAAATAAAAAAGTGTATGCGACCGTTCTAGATGTATATATATTTAGTCTGGCTAAATTAATGTATTTGTTATGAAATAAAAGCAATTTAGTAAAACATGAACAAGAAATAGAAGCAATTTAGTAAAACATGAACAAGAAATAGAGATAGAGAGAAGGAAGTGATTTTCTTCTTCAATTGTGTGTATTTTCTTATCTATTACAAAACCTTTATATAGGCATGAAAAGTGAAGAAAATATGTCATGGAATATGTCATTGAACATAGAAAATATGTCATTGAATATGTCATTAACCATTTGAGAGAAAGATCATGGAGGAAGAGTAGACATCCACCATATTTTGATTTTTATCATAACACTCCCCCTTGGATGTCCATAAATAATGTGCCTCGTTAAAACCTTATTAGGAAAAAANCATACACATTCTCGACTTGCTTCATGAATAGGAATTATCTCAGCATGATTAGAAGAAGTACCCATGATTGATTGTTTAGTTGATCGTTAAGATATGACAGTGCCACGCATGTAAACACATAACATGTTTGAAATCAAGCTTTGTGTTTGTCAGATAAAAACTCCACATCGACATAACCAACAAGATCAGTATTGCAATCATTGCCATAAAATAAGCCCACATCGGTAATCCCTCTTAGATAACGCAATATGTGCTTGATTTTATTCCAATTTCTCCTTGAGCGGAGCTATATCTTGCTAAGACATTAACTGAAAAAGTTACGTCATGCCTTGTAGTGTTAGCAAGATATATTAGCGCACCAATTGCATTATAATATGATACTTTAGGACCAAGAAGCTCTTCATTATTTTCATGAGGTCGGAGTGGATCTTTATACATATCGAGTAATCTCACAACCATCGGGGTACTTAATGGATGTGCTTTATCCACATAGAAGATCTTTAAAATCTTTTTAGTATATGCTGATTGAAGGACAAAAATTCTATCTTTCATATATTCAATTTGTAGACCAAGACAAAATTTTGTCTTTCCAAGATCTTTCATTTCAAATTCTTTTTTTTTAAACAGTCTACTGCTTTAGGAAGCTCTCCGGGAGTTCTAATGATATTTGAATCATCAACATACATGGAGAATATAACAAATTTAAATCCATATCCTTTTATAAGGACACAAGGACAAATTAAATTATTCTTATACCCTTCTTTCAACAAGTACTCTCTCGGGCGATTATACCACATGCGCCCTGATTGTTTCAATCCGTATAAGGATTTTTGAAGCTTTATTTAATAAATTTCTTGGAAACCTTAATATGCTCCAAGACAATTTAAATCTTTCAATGATATCCACTATACGCATATCAAGTTTTTCATATATTGCCAGATTAAAACCTGAAGTGACTATATCCACTATAAGAGAACATGTCTCCATATAATCAATGTGAGGATATTTACTAATTTTCTTGTGCCACAAGTCGTCTTTATGTCTATCGACTTGAACCTTTCGCACAAGAACACATTTATACCTCAATTGACTTTATACTTTCAGGTGTTGGACTATCCGTCCAACTTCACATTTTTCAAGTGAAGTCAATTTCATTGCGTATTTTTTATTTGGCCAATCTTTTATCCGTCCAAATTTCATGACAGATTTGATCTCAAGATCCTCGCCAATATTAATCATATTGAGTGCTACATTATATTAACAATATTGTCGACAATCATTTTATGTCGGTTCCATTATTACCCAATAACGACATAACCTATTGAGATATCTTTATTTCATTATTTTCAGGTACCTGAGCCTCTCCCATGAGGTATTATGAAGTGTTATGCCGTAGTGCTCTTCTAGGGCACTTGCCTCCTTATTATGACCATTTTGAATATTTGCCCCTCTCCTTCTTCAAGGAGTTTTATCTTTGGAACCGATTGGTCTGTTACACTTTATGCGTGCCATCGACTCTGTCCCTCATGGACTTTATTCTATTTGGAGCATTAGCAGCTGAAATATGACATTTTGCTTTGGGTCAGCAAATGCGTCTGGCAATAATTTGTAAATGAATTATCATTTGAACTTCAAGTTTATATTTTCTTGTGCGAGGATCTATATGTATTCATAATAATTCATTTCACGTATCACTTTCTCAGCTGCCCATTTTCTCCCCCTAATGTTGGAATCACCAACACATTTCTCAACCATCTTTGGGAACTCATCTTTGTGCATTTTTGTGGCATAATTAAATCATATAGCACATCCATATTTCTATATAGAAATTATTTGGTTCCTGACCCTGAACCGATTGTGATAGGGAGAAATTTTTATAACTTGGCTAGATGCGTACAAGTGTTGTTGTATATTAAATAATAAATCTCATACCAAATTTCATTTTTGGGAGTTTTGTTCTCATAACCAATGATTTAGCTATAATTGGAGGCATACAATTTCCGCTATACCAACTTGGATTTAAACCAGTATTATCAAGATAAATTATCATAATTTATATTCTGGAATTGTGCTTAAATAATTTGAGCAAGCAATCTTGTAAAAACCAAACTGCAAGTTGATAACAAATGCACATGTGACCATAAAATAGATGCATCTATTAAAATCATATAATAGTAAACGGTCCATATGGCAGGTGATTGGGCCCATATATATCACCTTTTATTCCTTCCAGAAATCAAGGGATTCAATCCCAACCTTTAACTAGTATATCATGAGAATAAGCAGCACAAGAGAATTCTTGAAGAATCTTCTATTCTTCAATATATATCAATGTAATTCTTAATTAATTTTTCGCATCATAATTGAACCGAGATGGTCAATCGGTCATGCCAATTAATATTTGTTTTAGTAAACCTCTAGTTTACCTGTGGCATATGATTCCAGCATCATGCTTATATTTGTGTAGTACAAATAGAAAGAAGATCGGGTAACCTTTCATATTTATCCGGTATGATTATAGAAATATGAAGATATTCAATCTTCCTTTCATTTATAATCTCAATATTCCAATCACTTTGACATCTATATTTGAAACTCAAAAAGTTTCTTTTGAGACTTTACAATATCAATGTCATGAATAAGTTTATTCATCCGGGTAGTAACAAATTAGTTTTTCCGGAGTGCTTACCAACTTTTGTACTACAAGATCTTTTATCATACCATTCATATGGTAAATGTCTCCTTCACGAATAAAATTATATCATAATAAATTGTCATGGTCAAAATCATCATAAGCAAAATCATTTCTTGCTTTAATTTTGCCTTTAATAACTTTTATAAGGCATGACAAAATAATATTTGGCATATCACATGTACGCGACCAATGACATATTCATGTAACCACACAATAATATTTATTCTCTTTATTTTACTCAAACCTCCCTTAGAGGTGAGTTGTGTGGTATTCATATAATCATGAATTGCATGTCTTTATTCATTGCTTTTATCACATATTGCCACATTCAACTTTAGGAATGGGTTTGCATTCTCAATGCTTATCACAAGTCACATTCTCTTCAAGGAATGGATCATAATCGGCGATGTGCTTTATTATTTTCATACCAATTTGATGCTAAGCATTGCCTTCACATTTTGAAGGACTATTTTGAGAACCCTTATTGTTCTCCTTTCATAATCATAGTGATTATTATTATTATTTTGATATTTGGAATGCTCACGTTCATTGTTCAACTACTTGTCTTCATTGAAACTTATTATGCACTGTTATCACATTCACTTCAAGAATGGAGCAAATCAAGAGGGACAATTTTTATGCCTTTTCATGAAAAATATATTAGTTTTCTTTAGTCATCATTATATCATCAATATGGTACATTGGGAAACAAACCCAATGTCTTACCAATATAAAGGCATGTTAGGCCATAATAAATTGGGACTCAAATCCAACTCTTATCATTATGGAGCATCAGGACTTGATCTCGATGTCTTATCCTCAATTAATGGCATAATAGGCTAAACAATATTGAGATTCATTCTCAAGCCTTAATTTCAATCACATGCCAAGAAAGTTATACACAACTAATTTGCAACTTAGCAAATCAAATTTGCTTTCTTAAATAAGTGTACAAATCTCAAATCAGCGTAAAGCTTTATTAATTATTTGTAGCATCTATATGAAATACAACCGTTTGTAGTCAGAATATTTCTTCTAAATTCTATTAGAGTTTAAAAGGATCATAAAATCATTGTCATAATATTTATTGAGTCTCTCTCAAAAATATTGTTGTTTTCGGGGTATACCCTACCTATTGGATTTGATTTAACGCCATGACTTTCCTTCACTCAATTCAACCAAGCAATTAGTGAATAAATTTATCAAAAGTACACCATATAGGTAACAACACATATATAATACTAATACATAAATTCAGCA